CGGCAAACTGTGACTTCAACCTTTCCTTGAGTGCACCCCTCGGGTACGGTCCGTTATAATTTTTTTGAGATTAGTGAGCCCGTAAGTCTTAGGACTAGAGCGCGATGCCCTGTAATTCCTCCGGTAGAATTAATACTTTTGTTTAAGCTTAACAGTCTGTGCGACTGCTCTGATGGTTGTTGAGGCAACTTCCCCGGAAAACACCCTCCCAGTCTTATTCGGCCATGATGTATGTCTGAGTGTCCTAGCCTTGAGTACTACTGACCAACTACTACTGATCGCATGAAGCTGTCTTGTGGGTATGATCCATCTCATTTTGAAAACTTAAGGGTAATTTTCAATAGAAACTTTGGTGCTGCATTGGGGTGTGTGTATGTGTGTTGTGGTGGGGGAGGAGGTACTGGGCAGGGGGAGGAAGTTGACCTGTCACTGGCCTGTCACTCGCAAAATGCTAATGGCCCGACGTTTGAGAACCTCAATTGCAGTGACTGAGGATATGTTGAAACCTCCACTCTATGACCCTCAAGAGGTCCTCCCTAAGCTAAAAGAAAGACAAAGAAAGCAAAAGCTACAGCATGACAAAACAACGGGTGGTTCTGCCACCATTGAGGGATGGTGAGGCTGTAAGTGTTAGAGAAGGCAACAAGTGGAAATATGCTAGATGTGCTAGATGGTCACAGGTTCTTCCCTCATCCACACCTTACAAGGTTGAAACAGCGCGTGGCGGAGAGTACCGAAGAAACCGTCGACATTTATTGAGAACTGAAGAGTCTCAGATCCCGGAAATCACCGCTACAGCGGACGTCTCTAATGATGGAGACCTGACAGACACCAAAGTTGAGCCATCCTCTGTTACAGTGGCTCACGAGAATCCTGGATCACCGCCAACTGGAATGTCTATGGCTACTACCACGCGGTCTGGTCGGACAGTTAGAGAACCGCGGCGATTATAACCAGTCACCCTGGGAAAAAAAGAAAAAACGTGGAGTTCAGTGATAAACAAATGAGAGATTTTTTTATACGATTTCTTTGATCCGGAATATGACCTTAATCAATATAAGGGAACAAATAGAAATCAGGAGAAAAGGTAGAGTCAATCAGATATCAAGTTTCCTCTGATTTTGACTTGTTCAGGGTTCTTTACAAAAATATTATCGATAAGGTTGTTTGAGTTACTGCGAACGCGTGTTGGTTAATTTCTTGATGGAAACGAAGACAAAAAAATTAACTGTCTTTCGTCACATTAAAGACTTGAGATTGTCTCTGGGCCAAATTTCAGAACTCTTGCGACTAAGAAAGGAAAGTTATTGCAATGTTAAACTGAAGTGGCGGGATACTGGGTTACATACTGTATGTGCCGGAGAATCCCGCGCTTTGCAAACCAATTGGTCTAACTCTCTCTGTATTGACGTGACAGATTCTCGTGACCTGTTTCAAGATACCAATGCGGATTCCGTCGTCAGGGTCGTAAGTACTCTACACAGTCAGCAATTACTTTTCTTACTGACTCCATTAGAAGAGACATGGATGTTAGGGTACGTTTTTTCTGGAAAATCCAAATCCGGTTTCCCGAATCCAAATCCGGATTTGCGAATCCAAAAACGGATTTTGAGTTTTTTGGGGTATATCCAAAACGGATCATGAATCCAGAAAATCCACTCTTAGGGTGGATTCTTCGGATCAAATCCAAGTCCGGATTTTCGAGATTCACAATCTGAGCGTTTTTTTGGGAAAGGATTTGAAAAAAATATTTTTGACAAGCGGTTTTTCGAAAAAATAAATGGTCTGAACCTATTTTGGTGGCGCCTTATTAAGTTTGAGCCATATTATTCCATGTTTGTTATCTATTCAAATTATTGAACCCTTACTTTTCATGTTTTTTGTACGTATGTAGTGTCTGCTTACGCCGGTTTTTTTTCCAAGTTAAAAAAAACAATTCATCGGCTTCAATTTTAAATTCTTATTATTTTACCATCCTATGGAGTGTATCCTATTTGAGAAACGTTTGTGTTTCAAACCGAAATATATACATTTCGTATATTCATTCCTAGCTTATGTTGCTTTTTCTTCTTGTCTTCGCCGTGAAGATCAGTTTGTTCTTGCTGTTTTTTGTTTTTTTTTTTTTCACGAGGAGCACGAGGACATGCCGTTGTCATAGTAAATGATCCTTTTGCGGATCTTCCGTTTTTTTGGTAGTGAAGAATCTGCATGATCTGAGATCACAAATCCGTTTTTGGATTCTCCCAAAAAAACGCAGGCACCCAATCTGTTTCCGCGAGGGGTGTTCTGTCCAGTCCTCTCTCCTGCCGCCGCCATATTGGAAAACGAGAAGACCCTGCGGACAAGGTTGGACATTTTATGTGGACATACATAGAAACATTGCTAAGGGGATGATGGCGGTGTCGGTCTGATCTCGATTTTAAGTTAGTATCATCCAAAATTTCCTTTCTCCTAGCCCGTTAGGAAGGCCTGATACTCATGCTACAGTCTGATTTGAGCGGCGTTGATTTTAGGAGTCAGATTAGAGGAGATATTACTGGAAGAACATCAAAAGTTAGCAACTAACAGCTGAACGTCGAGCTGTTTGGCTACTGCAGGGTAAGGATTCTTGTCTTTTTCTGTTTTTGTTCCTTGTAGTCTCCTCTTTAACTAAAGACTATGCAGCAATATTGAATTTTATAAGCAATGTTCGCAAGTTTAGCTGAGCTTAAAATGCAGCTTGAACTTATAAAGAAGTTCAAGAAAAATGATTTCCACCTAAAATATTAATGAACTCCTCTTTATACTGCGGAGCATCTCACGTTTTGTGCCTAGTGCGCCTTTGGATGCTTCCTTCTCTTCCTACACTTACTTTTTCAGTGTATATGTTTACACTTTTACTTACTGTATTGGAGAAAACCGTAATAAAAAAAAGAAATCGAAACTTTAACGTTAACCAGCTTAACCAAGATGAAAAGCGTTGATGCTTTTGACGAGAAAATCATACGAAAATCACTTCCGGCTTTGAACGCTAATTGAACTGGCATCAAGTCTTACAGAGTAAGATTATGTATTTTAAAATAATGAACGAACTTTTTGATTGTTCAGTGGTAATTAATGACTGCCAAGGCATTTTGATGTAATTGTAAGTCGGAATAATGCAACCTTACACACTGATTCTTTACCAGCTAACTCAATTCCTGGCCACATCCCCAACAACCCCCACCCCTCCCCCTTCCCGCTCCCCCTGCATTGAAACGATTCACCCACTACATTTGATGGCTCAGTAAAATACTATAGGACTTCTGTGAGTTTCAAAATATAAATTGTTGCTTTCAAAACGAGGCCAAGTGAAAAAAAGTGTTAGTTTTGTAATTTTTGTAACTCAAGCATACAAACCTGGACATACCTCTGTCTTCTTGTTGTTTATACGCCAATGAAACAAAAACCCAAAAAAGTAGGCAATAAGTTAGGCAAGTTTACCTTTTTTTATTATTATTATGTTTCACTGTTCATTGGCAAGGCAGTGTCTATGGAGTCTACCTGGTGAAGTGCTCTTCAAATCCTTACCTCAAAATGCCAGGCCTGTGCACGTGAGTCCAACAGGACCCTTTTGTTTAAAAGGTGGATACATAACCGCTATTCACTGGATTAACTACAGCACTGACAGCTGTCTGAGAGGCACATTATTATTATCTGACAAGTGGGCAGTATGATTAATATGTTACTATATCAAGGACTTGTATATTTCCCCTTCTATTCATCAGTCATGGCTGCATCATCTGATGAGCCTGAGGTCATGAAGGCAACCAGGAGTCTGGACAATTCAGAGGTTCATTCTTTCTTTTTTTTTATTTCTTGTTACAAAAAGTTATTCTTTATTCATCAATATTATACTGTGCTGTTGACATGTCAGCTGGCGTTTGTTGACTGACATGGTTGTCATGTTGACTAATATTAACCATTATTTCAAATGAGGCTTCATTTTGGTCAACTTGTTGACTTGACAGTCGGCCAATATGTTGACATAAGGGTGCTTTTAGTTCAGAAGATCCAAGAAATTTATGGTTATGCATTGTTTGTTTGGTGAATAACTTCGATTTACCTCTATGATCACGTATGTATACACCTAATTGAGGTATATGTGTTATATTACATTTAAAAAAACAAAAGTGACAAATATATGCTAAAATTGTTCACTTCATAACTTGTAGCACGCCTGACCTTTGGATGTAAAAGGAATTGCTCATGTTTTGAAACTCTAAAACAAACCTCTTAACTCTAAAATATACTGATTGTAAGCTGTTGATTTATCAAGGCGCATGTCACTGTTTTAAGAATAATACTAAAATTTGAAAGAAATAACATTGATATGCCTAATTTATTCCTATTTAAATGAAAGTTGCTAGAAAATGTTTGGGGGTCTTTGGGTGGGAGAGTGAAAAAAAAATTGGCTATTCTGCCCCTGCATGTACATTGTATCAACTTACATATAGTCAATGAAACAAATTTTTTTATAAATAATTGCTATTACTTTGGTTTCTTTCATTTTTATTAGTTTTAATTACTTTCTTATTAGTTTTGATTAGGTGACAAAGGATCAATGTGAAGAATTTGATTAAACAATTATCATAATTTTTTTTGTTAACACTGAAGCAAATTGAGTGGGTGTGGTTCTTGAACAGAAGTATCAACAGTTTACAATATGTTCTTATTGTTATTTATTGGCATTGTTCTTGTAGGCTTGCTATGGTGACACCAGTGTTCCAGTGTTACATGTTACTCTCCTTGGTGGTGAGTGGGGTTCATCTGCTGGTGGGTTGTCAACGATAAACAGAGAGCTTGCAATTCACCTTTCAAATCATTCAGCGGTGAAGATTTGTTTACTAGTCCCAGAGGGAGCTTGCAACACTGAAGAGATAAAAGATGCAGATGGCTATGGAATCACTATTGTTGAGGCAAAGGAACGTGCAGCATATGATCGTCTTGATTGGTTGAGCAACCCACCCCAGGACCACTTCATGGACATCATTGTCGGCCATGGTGTTAAACTTGGTCGGCAAGTACAATTCATTAGAGATTTTGCTCAATTTTCAAATTGTAAGTGGGTACAAGTGGTTCACACTGCTCCTGAGGACCTAAGCAGATACAAATGCTACAGTGACTCCATTTCAAAAGGTGAAACAAAACACGAATCAGAAGTTGGGCTTTGCAAACTTGCTGATCTTATTGTGCCTGTGGGACCTAGACTAAAAGAAGCATACTCTTCATATTTACAGCGATATAAGACAGGTCAAGATGTTTTGTCCATTACTCCAGGCCTTTTTGAAAGGGAGTTTGGGGGTTTAGTGGCAAAACAAGACCCTAATAAGGATGGTGAATTTAAAGTGTTGTTATTTGGTCGTGGAGATGATGAGGACTTTGAACTCAAAGGATACAACATTGCTGCTCATGCATTTACTGATCAACGGTTGAATGACAAACCTTATCATCTAATCTTTGTTGGAGCACCTGAAGGAAAGCAAGAAGAAGTTAGAGAAAAACTTCTTCAGCGTGGTATTGTGGAAGCACAGTTGACTGTTAGAAAATTTATACAAAGTAGAGAGAGACTGAAAGATTTGCTTTGTGAAGCTGACATTGCCATAATGCCGTCAAAATCAGAGGGATTTGGTCTCGTCGCACTTGAGGCCTTGTCTGCGGGACTACCCATTCTTGTAGGCAGAAGGTCAGGATTTGCCAAAGCATTAGAGAATGTTCTTCATGGTAATGCATGCATCGTGAATTCAGATGATCCTGCAGAATGGGCAAAAGCAATAGAAGCTGTTCGTTTAAGGCATGGTATGAGGCTTCAAGAGATTAAATCACTGAGAGCATCTTATGGAGAGATGTACAGTTGGAAGGAGCAATGTGAAGCCCTTGTGAACAGAATGCGGAGAATGGGTCATGGTTAGAGTTATTTGTTAAGTGCTGATGTAGTATTCATGTTGTACCAGACATCACACTAATATAGTTTTTGTGGCACAATATAATATGCAAATGTAAGAGTGCATTACACTCACAAGCACTGAAGGCATTTTGTTCTTTGATCACACTGTCAAGTGAACACGCAAGTTCTATAAGATTCTCTCTACAAATTTAGTACACCAACATAATCCCGGAATATCTAACCATTTTGTTGATAGCTTAATAAATATGGCTAAGACATATAAAATAATGTACCTCAGTCTTTACAATCCTTACCTAGTAGATTCAGTTACTTTCCTAAAAATCATGCACCTTTAAATCTTTTACAGTGGTGGGGGGGGGGGGGGGCATGTAGCCATGTTTGAATTTCAGTGTTGTTATTTTTAAGCTTCCACTGGATCTATAGTACTTTAAAAAGTTATGATGTTTTTACCATCAAATTTACTCTGAATTCGTTAATTTTTTCCTCTTAAGCTTAAATGTTTTGTGCACACCTTTTAAAGTTGTATTGGAGGTTGTCAATGCATGAAAAGATCTGTAATGTGTAGAATTAAAAGGTCTCCACCATGTTTAAGGGTCACGGCTGCTGTCAGTGTGACCGTCAAAATTTATTTTTAGTGTTACATGGGACGTGGTTTTACATGAGTGGTTATGGGTGGTTGAGGTGTGAATGGGTTACAAAAACGTATATACATTATTTTGTAAGAGGCTTATAATAAAGGCTTGTTCTCACACCAGATGCTTCTGATATACCAAAGGATGTTTCTGTCACTGAAAAGCAGCCCATTACAAAAACACGTGCTTCAGCTTCTGGATTCTTAGGAGGGCAATGTCCAGTTGATGAACAGCCTAAAATTGAGGATTCAGTCAGATTAAGTGAAGAATCTCCGTCAACTTGCCATACTCCTGGCATTTCTGGGCTTACTTCTGACCAAGGTATGGAATTGAATTACATTGACAAGGTGCCAAACTTTTTTTTAGGTGTTTTAGTGGCTTGTTTAATAAAATCTTCAGAATTTTTTGGCCCATTTAAAAAGTAACTGTTTTTATTTTCGACTGTCTGCTATTCACTATTTTCAGATAGACCACTCACCTTGTCTACTTCCCAAAATTTTGCATAACCATTGTCTTCAATTTCTCTTGGGACGAGTGTAAAACCCAGGAGAAATTAGGGGGTAAACGAGATGCGTGCAAGATGTATGTGAAAATGGTGAAGTAGCTAAGAATGCTCTGTTTGTGTAAAAGCGTTTTCAAACAAAGAGCTGAGGAGCCTCACTGAGTTTCCTTATACATTAGTAAATAGTTTATTTTTTTCTTGAAGAGTAATAAGAAGCAGTAATTGACTTGTAGTTAATATCAGGGTCATCCAATGACGGTTTCCTCCTAAATACACTGAAAACACTTTTTGGGCTATCCAGAGTACTTTCAGATATCTAGAAATGCATTCTAAGCGGCGCTATAAACTTTGTATCTGTTCGGTCATCCAAGGGGAACTTGAGTCTTTTTGAAATTACGAGGGATTCAGTATTATTTTCCCGAAAATATTAGATACAATTTAACGTATTACGAAGGAGAAAACTTTTCTGATTCCTCTTTCCATCACATTTTTGAATCGGAAAATTTGCAAAAATTGAAAAATAGCCTAACCTGGAGAGTGAAATGTGAAAAATTAAACTTCAGAAAGTCGTAAGGAATTTATTATTTGAGCTTAGAAAATTGTACATGAATGGAGCGGTCGTCTAGAAATTTTTAGCTGTCTTTAAGTAGTAGAAAATTCTAGGCAATATTTGCTTCTCCGAACAGATATTTTACAGAAAACGGTTGTTGGTTGCCCCTGTAATATGCTTTTAATAAATAATTTTCAGAAGCAGCAAACACTATTAAGATGTCGATAACCCCACGTGATTTAAGTAGTGAACTGGAGGATGTTGTGGATAGAATGTTCAGACAACAACTTGAAGTGTACTTGAAATACAATAAAAGGAACAAGCTTTCTACTGCCAGCGGACTGAGTGACTTCGTTAAGCATGTAGAAGATACTTACAACTTTACTTTAGCATCTGTGGGTATGGGATCTTTGGTAATAGAAGGTCATTGTCCCGACCTGCAAAGTTTGGAAAGTCTGTGGAATGATTATTATTCTGGTGTCCTGAATGAAGCTGCAGAGAGGTTTTTGGTAACTGATGATATGAAGAAAGAAATCAACTTGGTGACACTCAGATTAAAGACTATTATTGAGGAAGAAAGCTATTTGACTTGCAAGAAAGCTCTTATGGAAAAGTCAGGTGAGTTGGTTTAGCACAATTTTTTGGGAAATTATCTTTGGACAAGAAATTGAGGTAATTCTCTGCTAGTGCTTTATAGCAATGTACTCACAAGTATACATGTACATGTATTAATAAAGCGGTTATCTTAGAGACTTCAATCGAGATAATGGAACAATTCAATGTATGGAACCGTTGCCAATCAGGCTGACCTTTCCTTGTGACGTTTTGTGTTATGGTTTATTGCCATATCCAAGTACTTAATACAATAGTAAATTTGTATAATAACATTGTAAACTAGATTATACATTTTAACAGTGAATTTTGCCAAACTGCTCGGCCAATGACATTTTGTGTAGAGGTTGGTTGCTTATGGCAGTGGTACTTGACAGCTAGAATGATCATCGTCGTAAGGTGTTTCACTGCGGGGTGGATCTTTAACATGAGAGCAATAGAGAATCTTCTGAGCTTCAAATTACTTCCCTGAAACAGTTTGCACTAAAAGAACAGATAAATTAATGATAATGATTGAAACATGTATGTAATCGAAATAACATTTAGCATGTTATAAAAAAAGATGTTGTAACGTTTCAGTTCAGTAAACTATATTATGACCTCAAGAGAGGTGGCTGTTAGTTGACGTTCACGTACATGTGCAGTAATGCAGTAATTGTACCTGGCTGTGAGTATTTTCTGTTATAGTGCATTCACAAAAGATAAATTCAATGCGTATTTTCGTTATTTTATTCCGTGTTAGCAATCAGCCGTAGCGTGTCACCTTCCACTGAATCAGATCAAGAAGTAGCTTCACCAACTGACACAAGCCCAGATGATTCTGAGGTAGGTGCTGTATACTTGGGACTAAAAATTAAAACAAGTAAAGGCTAGAAAGGAAAAGAAATCGAGCCGTTTTAGGGGTGCAATCTGCAGAAATAATAGCTCGGAAAAAAGTATGACAGTTTTCAAACCCAGTTCCTTTAGGCAACGTCGAAGAGAAAGACTGGTTGTGTTTCATTTAATATAAATTCAGGGCTGTACTCTAGCAGAGCCCGGTGGCCCATGGAACCCAACTTCTGCTCTTGGGCGGGTAGAAAATCTTAGTATTTTCATACAATGCTGGGCACCCTAGATTTTACAGGTTTAGCGGTCTGGGCTCTCTTCAATTTTTATTAGAGCGCAGCCTTGTATACTGAAATTGTATGAAAATATTATAATGGAATGATTGAACTATTTTTTAAAACCTCATATGGCAGTGGTTTAAGCGTATGTATCTTTGTGGCTTTGTGTCTTTGTGTGCTCGGATGTCTGTTGCAGGGTCCAATAAGGTTGAAGGTACAATGTGTTGATGCTTATAGGAACCAATGACGCGTAGATTTTGGCGTCTACACATGACATTGCTTGAGGTCAAACAAGGGCACTTTGAGACCGCCATCTTGGTTGCATGAAGCATAAGTTAATTGCACATGTTGTAAAGCCGAGGTGATTTCTTAAAACCGTTTGAGCAAATTTCCTAATAAACAATTTGCGTTCTTTTTTTACGAATTGTAAAAGAGGCAAAGTCCAACGTCTTCACTTGCAAACTGTGTGCATTAGTTATTTTCATAATCCTGCTTATTGGACTACTGTGTGATCAAATTCCCTCACGTACGAACCACGAAATGGGCAAAGTCCAACTCTTTCACGTGCAAACTGTGTGACTGTATATCTCATGCAGACTGGCTTTTCACAATAATACTAGTAACTTGAATGTTTGAAGACCTCTTTAGTTTTGTAACTAGTACTTTAAGTAAAGGCTGTTTTCTTAAGAAGCAATAACTTATAACACTTTACGAATCAAGTCGTCAGAGTTAAAGACTGTTTCATTAAGTAGATTTTTACGTGACAACCTCATGAATAATGATGATGCAACCATCTACAACAATTATGAAAATCGTGACATTTCTTAGTTATTCGGTATTCGATGAGCTTCATTATCGTAAGAAACCATGAAGAAACCTTGAAA